TAGCTACAAGCATTCTTCCTTGTTTCCGATGACGTCATGGACCATTCAATTACAAGGAGAGGTAGACCCTGCTGGTACACTGTTGTAAGGGACTACCTAATTAACATAAATTTGCATATATTTGCATAAATTTGAATGAGTAATTTTTATTGTGAGAATATTTCTTGGTTTTGATTCAATGATCTTTTTAATATTTAGTTAATCAATCAGTCAGTTTGTCAATTAATAACCCAATCAATAAACCACTCAAACAAACTGGCAATCAATCAACCAATTAATCAATCATTCAACCAACTAATCAATCAACAATCAGTTAATCACTCAATTAATTAATAAATAAATCAATTACCTAATTAATGAACTAATTAATCAAGCCAGGGGTAGGCTTAATAGCAATGAATGACGCACTCTATATAGAATCATCCGTATACAAACTGCTGAAGAAATATATTAGGAATAAGCCGTACTACATTGACATTGTCGATCTGTTTCATGAGGTTTTTTGGCAGAACTTCTATTGATTAGCGATTATATTATTGCGTCAATTATTGAAATTAATTATCAACTTTAGAAATTATTAATAAACAAAAATTGCTTATAAATCATGGATAAAATAATAGTAAACATATAATAATATAATTTCCGAATAATATAATTATGAAAGAAAACTTTTCAGACAATCCACCAGACAATAGTAGGTCAGTGCCTTGACCTGCTGACCTCAAAAGAGGTCAATCTTGACGGCTTCACTCTCGACAGGTACAACGCCATTGTTAAATATAAAACGGCCTACTATTCATTCCATCTACCCGTCGCCTGCGCCATCTACATGGTCAGATTTTAAATTTTTTGGGGATCGAATGTTCAGGTATAATGAAACAAACAATAGTGTTTCTAACTGAATGATCATTTTTAATGAATTGACCTAATGCGAAAATAATATAATAATTTGTAATAATTATTAAATATAATTGATAAATATATAAAATAATTTATAATAATTATTAATTATTTACTAGGTTGGAATAAATGATGAAAGATCGCATCAGCTAGCTAAAGATATTCTCCTAAAAATGGGAGAGTATTTTCAAGTCCAGGTTTCTTTTATTTATTTTATTATTTTAAAATAATTTAGAGGCAATTATAGTAAAATATAATAAAAATAATATAATATAATAATAATATAATATAATATAATAAATATAATAAAAGCTGTGATTATGTTTTTCTTCAGTTCATAATTAAACCAACCTCAGTTCTCACTTCATTATAGTCAAACTAAGATGAAACCGCATCTTAGCCTGAAACGGTGATCATCATTATTATGATCATAATAAACAAAATTTATAATCATGATAATAAAATTATAGTCGTAATTATAAAAAAAATATGCAACCATAATAATTATTTCTTTCAAATAGGATGACTACCTGGATTGTTTTGGGGACCCAGAGTTGACAGGGAAGCTCGGGACAGATATCGAAGATAATAAATGCAGTTGGTTGATTGTACAGGCCTGGTCGAAAGCTGACAACCGTCAAAAAGAGATATTAATGGTGATTGTTATTATAGTTAATTATTAATTAATATATTGTTATTATAGTTAATTATGGTTAAATTATACTACTACAACTACTACTAATAATACTAATACATAATTACCTGAAGGTAAATTACGGAAAGCCAGAGGAATGCAACTTAAAAATGGTGAAAATGGTTTATGAGGAATTGAATTTAAGGACAGTTTACGAAGACTACGAAGCGAAGAGTTTCCAAGAAATCTCGAAACTAATTGAAGGGATTGATAGCTGCCTACCGAAGACCATGTTTAACGAGTTTGCGAAGAAAATTTATAAAAGAAATAAATAGATCAAAAAAAGTTAATTGATTAATTAAATCAATAAATAAAATCTTCCAAATAAAATGATCTGCATAAACCTAGGTTTTCATTGTCTATACTGTCCATACATGTTTAACGTGTTTTAATCTATTGCTTTGGGGCTAATATGTACATGCATACACACACGTACATACACACATAATATATTTTTACAAACATACACACACAAACACGATTCTTTTTATTTCATTTAATTTAAAGTTTTTAAATTTTTTATTATTAATCAAACTTTTAATAATACAATTATATATTATTAATCAAAACTTTTAATATTACATTTACATATAATACATTCATAATACAATAGACGCAAATATATATATATATATATATATGTGTGTGTGTATACATATATATATATTACATATATATATATACATATAATAATAGTGTGTATATACATATATATATATAATGTAATAATATATATATATATAATGAACAATAGCAAATAATAACTAATAATAGGTAACTCTCTTTCTTTGCCTCTCTCTCTCTCTCTCTCTCTATACATATATAAATTGGGTGAGAATTTCACACGTATGTACATATACATACACACCACCAAATAAGAAGCTAAAAGTTAACAAAAATATATATATATACATATCACGCACTACATAACCCATATATATTACATGCAAAATAATTTTTTCGTATATATATATATATATATATATATATATATATATATATATATATATATGAACAATAGCAAATAATAACTAATAATAGGTAACTCTCTCTTTCTTTGCCTCTCTCTCTTTCTATACATATATAAATTGGGTGAGAATTTCACACGTATGCACATACACGTACACACCACCAAATAAGAAGCTAAAAGTTAACAAAACATACCAAAAAACTTATAAATTGATGAACCTAGAGTAACACATTTAAATATAATATTATATAATATAAATATAATGAAAATTTACCAAAAATTGCATAAAGAAACGACGATTATACATACAACGCTAAAGCCTCCAATCATGTGAATAGAAAGAAACTAATTGATGTGTAAAACTTCAACAACAGAAAATAGTTCATTAACTAAGCAGGGGAACGTAACGATGATCGGCGTAAATGTACATAATTCACTTAGGGTAGCACATCTTCTCACTCACACGCATACACACACACACGCGCGTACACACACACGTACGTACACACTCACACGCATACACACACACGTATATACAGAACCATTATCCGGAACATAATTTTATTTCAATTCATTTACCAATTGTTTCAATAAAACGCTTATATGTACACAAACACACACACTCACACATATATATATATATATATATATATATATATATATATATATATTAAAATATATATATTACAAAAACAAACATCCACATATAAATAATTCTTGGATTCATTTTACATAGACAAAGAAATAAATAGATAAGTAAATAAAAATAAATAAACGAGTAAATACATTTTAGTTGTTATCAGTTCAGTTTTGTTTAACTGTGAATGCTGTTCATTCATTCATTCGTTCGTAAAAAATATTGCTCTACTCGAGTTCTGATGTAATTTGTCCGTAATTCGTATTAGCGGTGGCGTCTTTAGCAGCGTTTATTGAGCTGTTGTTGTCGTTGTTACTGTTGTTGTCGTCGTCATCGTTATTGTTGTTGATGTTATTTTTATTACTGACACTCAAAAAATTTGAAATTCCCGCAGAGAATGACGGCGCTGCTAACAATGGTGATGAAATGATGTCATCATTCGGAGGGATGTGCAGTGACGAAGTAAGCATCATCGTCTGTGATGTTTGAGGTAATGATGATGGCGGTGTTGATGATGAAACGGATGATGATGATGATGATGGAATAGACGTAAAGTATGATGAAGGACTCATTGGTGATGTTGACATGCTCAACTGGAAAAATCCTGATGGCGATGACGATGATGGAGATGAAAATGATGTAATTGGAAATGATGATGGAGTATGCAGATTATTTGCAGGAATCGGAACAAGGCCTTGAGACAAAAATTGAACAGAACGATACGAAGGTAATGATGGTGATGAAGAAGATGATGATGACGTAATTGAGGATGATGACAACAACGAAAATGAACGTAAGGCCAATGGTGGTGATGAAGTAGTAGTCACCAACAACGATGACGATGACAACAACGACGGCAACGAAAAGTTCTTATCAGATCTCAAGAGTGAGCCTAAATTGAAAGGTTCATTCGACTTTAGACAGTTGCTGATACCGCTGCCGTTGCTGGCCGACGCCACGGCAACAGGCAGGCCTGAGGCAGAAAGAAAAGGCATTCTAGCAGCTTTTAACTTTGGAACTAGTGAAGCTAATTCTACCTGGCTGGGCTGTTGTTTGTTGCTGCTGTTGTTCACCATCATTACGGGTTTGTTGGCCGTGGCGGGTCTCAAAGATAAGGACGACGGCGAAGATGATGGTAATGTTGACGATGAAGATGGCTGTGATGATGTTAATGAGTTTTTAGCATTGATGTGCTGCTTCAAAACCATCGAAGTTTTCGTCGTGACAGGAGTTCTAACATATGTTGTCGTTTTTTGTGTTGTTGTTGTTGGCGCTGCTAATGCAGGCTTACCAAATCTTACGTTGAGAATGTTGTTGACTTTGGGGGTTGGTTTTTGTTGAGGAGCATTTGGGCTCAACAGGCTGGCAATACTTTGGCCTTGGCTCGGTTGAAAAATCTGCACAGTGCTGTTTGATGGGCCTGGTTTTGCAATTAATAATTTAAGTGGTTGCCCAGTTCTCTGTTGTGGTTGCAACTGTTGTTGCTGTAGTTGTATCTGTTGTTGTTGTGGTTGTATCTGTTGCTGTTGTATCTGTTGTGGTTGTATCTGTTGATGTTGTGTTTGTATCTGCTGTTGCTGTTGCAACAGTTGTTGATGTTGTGGTTGTATCTGTTGTTGTTGCTGTGGTTGTTCGAATTGTATCTGTTGCACCAGACTTTGTTGTCGTAAATTCTGAAGCTGTGATTGCTGCAACTGCAAAGTTTGCTGTTGTAGTAGTTGTTGCAGTTGCAGACGAATTTGTTGTTGTGAATTTGTTTGTATTAGTGTCTGCGGTGGTTGCATCTGTTGTGGTTGTTGTAGAACTATCTGTTGTGGCTGCTGAAGCTGCTGTAACTGCTTTTGATGCACTTGTTGCTGTTGTTGTTGCTGCTGCTTTTGAATTGCTTGTTGTTGTCGTACTTTCTGAGCAAGTTGGCCAGCAAGTCGAGGTTGTTGTTTGACTTGTTGGAAGTTGAGTGGTTGAACAATGAGTGGAGTAGGCCTTGTGAGAATGTTGATGTCAGAGAGAGCTGTTCCTACTAACCTTACTAGCTGATTTGGAACGAATGTCCCATTTCTCGGCATAAAGGGTGAAGCAGCAGCAGCGGCAGTAGTACTATTAACAGTTGTGGTAGTAGCAGTAGCTGTTGTAGCAGTAGTTAGTTGTTGCTGGTTCATGTGATCTGGTAATGGAATGACGGCTTTGTTGTTTGGTATGATGAAGTTTGTTGGTAATAGTGTTGTTGTTGAATGTCCTTGTTGTTGTTGTGGCTGCAAGATGGCAACATTAGAACTGTTGTTGTTACTATCAATAATCCTTGTGTTTTTTGCTGTCCGATTGATGTTGAGGTTCTGTTGGAAGTTGTTGTTGCTGCTGATGTTGGCACTATCATGGCTGACTAAAATAAAATTTGACAGTTGAATGTTACTGTGGTTGGGGCCAGAATGTTTAACATTAGATTGAATGGCATTCATGTTGAAAAGGTTGCTGCTGTTTTGTTGAGCAACATTATCTGAGTTAGAAGATTGAAGATTGGAAACGTCAGTCACAATGTTGAGTTGTTGCATTGGTGCATCTGTGGTGGCTAGTTTGTAGGATGTGATTAGGAATGGTTGCTGCTGCTGCTGCTGTTGTTGTTGCTGCTGCTGTAGTAGTTGTTGTAGTTGTTGTCTTTGAGATTGGTTCAATGACATTGACATTCTCAACCAATCGTTCAAGTGTTGTGAGTTGTTGGGAATGATGCTGAAAGCATTGATGGTGTTTGCCTGCTGTAGTGTTTGGCTGCAGGGATTGGCTATGTAGTTTGCCACATTAAGCTGTTGCTTTCGAGGGCTTTGCTGTTGTTGAACCTGTTGTTGTTTTTGAATCTGTTGTTGCTGTTGTTGAATTTGTTGCAAATAATGTTTTGGCAAAAATGTTTGTATTTGCTGAGAACTGTCCACAACTGCACTAGATTTCTGCAACAAAATCATTTGTTGTTGTTGTTGTTGTTGGGTCAACAAGGTCCCGCCTACTTGAAAGTTGCTCAACATCGAAGCATCACCATCGAAGCTAACAGAAACAACATTAGACCTAGGGAGGCTGAAACTTTTTTTGTTTTTTGCCTCAGTATTGCCACAACTCAATCCATCTCCTCCTCCAATCATATTACTATGTTCTGGTCCAGATTGCAAAACTCCGTGAGAAGTTGAAGGAACATTTGAATTTCGTTTGGCAGTTGCTCTTACCGATTTTTTATAAACTCTCTTCTGTTTAGTTGTAGTTTGATTTGTAATCTGATCTGCCATTGGTTGGCTTGGAAAATAAGAGGTGTGTTGATCGGCCACATTAGACGATGTTTGACTCAAATTTGTCATAGTCAAAGTATTTGGAGGGACAAACGATGCATTTACTTGCAAATCATTCATGGATGGTGATATATATGTTGAATATGGTGAATCATCACAAAGACTAAAGTCATTGAAACTTTCAGAACTTGCAGCAGCCGTTGTTACAACAATTTCTGAGACACTGGTTGCTGGCTGTAAGTACGAATCATTCAATCTATCCAAATCATCGCAATTATACTCAAAATTCTTAGATTGATGAGCTTTAGACATTAATCTCTTTGATCTCTTCAGCAAGAGTCCAGCTTTGTTTTGCAGTTGTTGTTGTTGCTTCTGCTGTGCTGTTGTAGGAGTTCTTTTCCTTAGAACTCTACCCTGACTCAACAGCAGTGCCATATTCAAATCAGCACTGGAAAAACCAGCAACATCATCATTATTCTCTGGATCAATGTTTTTTCGTTTTTTCTTCTCAAGAGCCTTTGCATTTGCAATAGTTTCTAATGAGATGTGCTTGAAGCCATTTTTATCTTCCTTAGTAATGACATCAGGAGTGGCTGCTGTTTCATTTTTTGATTTTTTAACAATATTTGTGGCGGTTGTCGCCGCGTCTAGCACCTCACCACCCACTGGTGAATTGGCGGCTGAAGGTGATGCTCTGGAAGATGCCTCTGTGCTCTCGACCCAGCCTTCGTCATTCGGTGGCTGGTAGGGTTGTATTGTTCAAATTAGTTCAAGTTATCAAATCAATTTTCAATATTATTGGAAATCAATTTTCAATATTTTCGAAAACAGAAATAGTTTTTTATGATGTTCTCTCTGTTACATAATTACATACCCCAGGGATTGGCGTTTCTTTATAATTTTTCTGATCGGTCCACATTTCCAACCGCTTTTCTTTGAGATTCTTAGCAAGCTGTTGTTCAAAGGGCTCGAAATGTTTCAAGAGGTTTACAATGTTTTTGTACAACTTCCTCTCTGTATTTCTCTTCAATGGCGTGGCAGTTGTTGTCTGTGGGTGAGTGTTGTTGGATGTGTATGCGTGTGAAGGTGTTGTTTATCGTTTATGGGCGTCTGTGTAAATGTTTGTGTGTATGTTGTTGTTTCTTGGTTTAATAAGAAACATAAGAGTGTACATGTAAGTTGTGGTTTTGCATTTGTATGAGCCTAGTTAAATAGAATTTAGTGGAATTGAAATATAATAACTCATTAGAAATGAATAAAAATTACAGCAAAAAGTCGTTTATTCGTGTTTGTAAAGTAAAAATAAATCCGCTTCACCTTAGGAGTTGTCACTACTGCCTTGGGCTTGTCATCGGCAGAGGCACCATCGCTGTTGTCATCGACACACGTGCTCGACTCTCCTTCATTATTGAGATCGTCCTTCGACTTAAACTGGACAGCTAATTGCTTCACTTCATCTATATTGTCGGCCACCAATTGAAATTCTTTATAATTAGGACCCTAAAAATAATAAGAAAAATTAAAATGACATAAATTGAAACGAGTCGAAATCAATGTCAAAAAGAAAGCACGTTTAAAGCTCAGATATCCATCTCTCACTAACTTCATCATTGTTGATGTTTTCTACATACTCTGTCTTTGGAGACTTGGCGAGGAATGGTTCTATATTATGCTGGTTATATTTACAAGAGTCATCTGCTTCGTTGAAAGACAAAGTAGGCATATCATCACTATTATCATCACTACTGCCCGCCTTATGTTCTTCAGTAAGAGTTTCTTTCTTAACTAAATCATTAAGCCCCACATCATTCTGTTTTTCTGATGAAGACGCTGGTGATGATGAGGGTTTACTCATTCTTTCATCATTTTTACGATCATCAACATACATATCACCAAAGGCCCCTTTATCGTCATCATCATTCTTGTCACTCGTCTTATTATCACCACCGTTATTATTATTAAAACTATCGCCATTCATACAGTTAATGTGATCGACGATCCCATCATTTTGTAGAAGTTTGCATGGTTCAGATTGTGAAGGCACTGACACGGATGTTAGCAAGTATGGCGACGATGACGACGCTACTGATAATGTTGTTGTTGATGATGACATCAGTGACGATGATGACGACGATGATGACGACGACGAAGAAGATGATGATGATGATGGAGGGGTAGCTTCTATTGTCCCCGCCTCAACTGACTCTGCACAAGACCTTGCAGCTTTGTCATCACCCACATCAGCAACAATCCCATCACAACTATCATCATCATTGTTATTATTGTTCTTAGTATTACTAGCATTATCCCCATTATTACAGTCATCACCGTTATTATTATTATTATTATTTTTACATTTTCTACCTCGTTTCCTTTTATGGCCACTATTTGCTACACTATCATTGTCATCTTCATCATTGCACCCATCATCATCATCATTATTATTATTATTCTTATTAATATTATTCTTATTATTCCTCCTACTATTAAGAGCGGAATTAGGTTTAGGGGTAGATTTGTTATTAGTGGCCCTCAGGATTCTGCCACTAACGCGACTAATGTTCAAAACCTGATCCCCATCCAGTATGCAATTAGTAATATTTCTAATAGCGTTATTATTTCCCATATTGTTTTTATTATTGTTGTTCTTGTTGTTGCTAGAACTGGGTCGCGTGACCTTTGACCTATTTACAGGGGCAGCACATTTCTTCGACTCTTCGATGACCTTTCTGAGTGACCTTCTCGGAATAGTAGCAGGGGTCCAGCTTAGCTGGTTGCTGCCGTTGTTGTCGCTATTGTGGTTGGTGGTGGCAGTAGTAGTTGAAGTAGCTAAACTGACGTTGTCGTCATCGTCGTCGTCATCGCTTGTTTTATTCTTTTTCTTTTTATTACTGACTCTGGTTTCGTTCTCGGTCTCATCATCATCATCATCATTTTTGTCAGCCTTGTCGCCATCATCCTCATCTTCATACGTGATGCACTTTTTACAGGATGACTTCCTTTTACAATTGGAAATAGATGAAATTTTTGAAGATGACGCTGATGATGATGTTAATTTTTTACACTTAGTTTTTGACGGAGCATTACCACCACCACCACCATCATCATCATCATCATTACTACTACTGTCCTTATCATCATCATCGTCGTCATCATCGGTATCATCACTGCTAGGTTTTCTTTTTGTAGCGCGTTTTTTATTTTGAGTTTTGTTACAAGACTTTATACACTGCTTGCTTCTTTTTCGACGACCATCGCCCTCGCCATCATCCTCAGCATCCTCCTTCTCTACTTCCTCTTCCTCCTCATTATTATTAACGACGTCACCATCATCTTCGTCATCCATTACCTCAGTGTCATCGTGATTGTAATCGTATTCACTATCTTCATTGGCGGAGCTGGATTCTAACAGGTCAGCCTGGTAGCACTTTACTTGTTTTGGATTCTATGGGAAGAAAAAATTATTGGCAGAGATAATTAATGCCATATTTATTTATTTACATAACTATAGTTTAAATGATAAATTAATAATCTTACAGCAATCACAACATAACTAATAGTTTTGTAAAGTTAACTATACTTATGACAAAATTAATCAGTCAATAGCAATAGACATAGCAATCTAACAATGGAATAATTGATCAACTAATATAATAATCAACTAATAAATCAATCAACCTACTAGCCAATCAATCAATAAAACAATCACCAACAAAGATACAATACCGCTCTGAAGCAAAATACCTAAGAATAAATAACACAACACCCGACCTGTCTTAGCCTGCTATCTCTACATCGTCCAATTTCTGAGGTACTATTGTCTTTGCTGTTGTCGTGGCGATAACGGTGGTTCGATGTTCTCAATTTGCTCTTGGAAAGGTTCTTTTTTCTACCTCTTCTTCTCTCCTTCTTTATCTGAAGAATTTTTTATGGAATGATTTTTTTTGGTAAACAGTATTATTATGTGTCGAAATCCTTTCTGATAAGAACAAAACAAGAGAGAGAGAAAGAGAGAGAGATAAGACAAAACTTGAAAAAAATCTCTAACCGGTGTTATCTCGGGCCGCCTAATTTCGATACATGGGAAGGGAGCTTCCTTGTAAATACGGACTTCATTAATGAAGAACTGAGGAAAGTGAATGTACCTATTTCCTTCGTTGTCGAAGCCAAGGGTAGTACACCTTAGGTCTTCAATCTGACACTTTTCTATCGTCTTAGCTAATAATTTGTGAGGGTCCTGGTTTGTTGATTGGTTAATTAAAAGGATAGTCAATCAATTTGATTGGTTGGCTAGACAAATGATTGAATGTTGAGTTAGTTTAATTGGTTGGTTAGGTAGTTGACTGAATGTTGAGTTAATTTGATTGGTTGGTCAAACAATTGACTGAATGTTGAGTTAATTTGATTGCTTGGTTAGGTGATTGACTGACTGAGCTAACGAAAAAATATGCAAATTGCTATCTAAATTCATTTTTAGTTACTTGTTAGTGAATATTAATTAAGTGATTGCTAACGTTATAGAAGGTGTAATCACACAAAGACTTCACTATCCAAACTTTCTGGTAATATGTCAGATCGTGAAATCCACATTTAGATAATGGGTTGGTCGTACCTGGTTGGAGGAATGATGATTAGCGTGCTTAGGGAAAGAATAATAAACCATGTAACAAACGAAAACTTAATCTAAAGAAAACAAAGAATTCTTAAAAAGTATTAAAATTCATAAATATAATACATCAAAACAGGATTTGGTCTGGAATTCGAGTTTAACTTTTTCCGCATATTACTGGAAAATTACTGACAAATTAAAAGTTACCAACCCATCACTTTAAAGAACTGCTGGTCTATTGCAAAATTCTCAGGCGTCTCCTAGAAAGCAAGCATAAAATAATTAATATGCAATTATAAATAAATCGATAGATCACAGACACAAGGCTGCTGTTGTTGCAAGCATCTTAGGGTTAGGCATTTGGCCATTACATTTATTAATAAACACACAGAAAGAATAATTAAATAATATTATTAAATATAGAATAATAGGTAAACGAAAAAATATAACTAACGGTCGTTGGATTGCACTTGTTATCATGGAAAGCCTTGTACCAATTTTCCAATATTTCTTTCAATTTTCCTTCCCACACATGGGATGGCATGTAAATTTTGGATTGTAATCTGAATCAATCAAAAACTGACCTTTTATAACCTTGATTAAACAATTCTAAAAACAGCACACCAATCAAATCTCAGTCAAACATTTCTGTAAATAGCACACCAATCAGAAACTGACTTTGATCTTTGGCAGGCAGAGCCCAACAGTGCCGTCATTATCCTCTGCATGACTGAACTTTCCTTCGACAGTATGAAGCACCTCTCAACTTCATACTGGCTGGGAACTTCCAGGTTCAAAGCTCGCAAGAACAAGTTTAAGAAATGACCAATTTCTACAAGCTGTGGTGAGTAAAAAATATGGATCATTAAAACAGCAGCAGCAGCAACTAACGACACCAACAAACCTCCCACATAGCTTTCATCTGAGCTCTGGTCACCTCATCGAAGAGATTTTCATCCCAAACCACCAAACTTTTTAGAAATTCCTCCCGCTTTGCCCGCCTTTCCAGCACCCTAATCCTATTCGCCTCCTTCTTACTGAGCGGTCGAATGACGTTTGAAAGATGCGACATTGCCAATTTTGTCGATGTCACACCTAAAAAGTTCATTATCAATTTGGTCATTAAACTTGAAAAAAAAATCTTTGGTAGTTACCCCTAGAAAGATTTGTGAAAAATTTGTTTGTTACATATGAAAAAATTACCAAAAATTCGGTTAAAAATGGAGCTAAAGAGGTTTTGAATTTGTGTTCTCACTGACCTTGTCGTTTGAGGAAACTTGGAATGTAAGGCGAGGAGGATGACAAAGATAATGCAGCATTTATCTTGTCTTTCAACTCTCTGGATACATAAAACATTTTAACAAATCATGCATGCATGAATGAATGAATGGGATACTAACGAATGAATGAGAGAACGTTTCAATAAATGAATAAATGAACAAATGACCCTAACATGAAATGACGTTGATGATGACACAATTAATCACATGATGATCTGATGATGTTAATTTATCCCTCAGGCTGGTTATATCATGTGACAGAAGATTAACATTATCACTTACTCCTCATAATATATCATCATCATCATCAATAACAACAACAACATAGAACGCCACTATAACGTCTGTAACTTTGTATAAAAATGTTTACAATCACACACATACAAACACACACACACACAAAATTATAAACATAAGCAAAGACACGCATACACTTGTACTACAAACACACCCACACATAGTACATACATATGCATAATATATTTATATATACACGGAACCTTGCCTAAACACACATACACATAAAGAGAGAGAGAGAGAGAGAGAGAGAGAGAGAGAGAGAGAGAGAGAGAGAGAGGAGGGAGGAATAATTAGTAAGTCTTCACACACACTACACACTAACACATACATGTTACACACACACACACACACACACACACAGACATACAAACAGACATACAAACAGACACAGAAATGGACCGACCTGGATAACAGAGCAATCTTCTGACCAAGAATTATGTCAAGTTTTAAGGCCTTCTTGCTGATTGAATGGTTAATACCATTGAACATGATGCAGTTTTCGATGATCAGTCGAAAGTCAGCTATGACTTGAGTTATGTCGTCGTACTGGTACCTATCAAACTTCTCCTCCACTGCATTTCAATTTTTTTCCAGATATTCAATCATTCATCACGAAGAAAACCATGAATACTCTAAACTATCAATATCATTATGAATCAATGAAATTTATTATGAAATAATTTAATCCATGAAACAAACAGTAATAAAAATATTTAGGTGATAATGATGAAAGAGAGAGGTGATAATGATGATGATGATGAGAGCTTTGATAATGATGAAAACAGTAATAGTGATGATAATAATGATCACAAAACCACTAAACTAACTCTTTCTAAACCACATAGGCCTCCGGATTCTATCATAATAATCCTGGCAGCCAATAAGATTCGAGTCAACCGCATCCATGAAAGGTCGATTGTGAAGTTTGTTTGAATCACTCATTAACTCCCTCAAAATTCTATAGCCCTGTGGTAAATTGTGTGATTGAAATGTAAGCTCATAATAAATTTTTTCTAAAATTCTCACTTTGATGGTACGTATTTCTCAGAATAAATTCTTTCCACAATTCTTACCCAGTGTGTGTAAAAATGTACAAGTGGTTCAAAATGCATGCATTGCAGGCACTGCATGCGATAGGCAGGGGTCTCTGCATTTAAACCTACTCACTGCAATAGAAACTCCAGGCACTTTAACCATTACACAATCTAGTCACCAAGTTTCATTATTATTGCAAACATAGTGTTATATATAAATTTTGATAACCTATGCAAATTAATGTTATTTAAAATGTCAAGGTCCAATTTTATTAGCCAGAGTTAGGTAATGAGCTAAAGTTTAATCTTATTCTGACTAGATGTGCCCATGGTACATTTGTTAATATTTGACTTAGTGAATTAATTTGTACAGTATTTTGTGTGTGATGTTGTCAGTATTTTATACTTCAAACACTCCAAAAGAATATTTTTTATATGTAATTTGATATTTTATGGCTGACAATTTTCTTTTCTGTCAATGTCAATTACATTTTCAATTTCTCCTTTGTCGAAGTTAGATAAGTGCAACTTAGAAAAAAAAACTTATAAGAACTAACTTGTTGGAGCTCATAGCTCAGCGGCTGTCTGTCTTCAACAGCTGTTTCTGCCTCAAAGTCCTCTTCACTTTCATTGGTCGGACCATCAACAGTGGGCTCAGTAGATATGCACTCCTCGTGAATTTCTTCTTCTTGGAGATACTCCTGTACTATGAATGATTCGTCCATCAAATTTGCATTAACATTGTCCATGATGATGTCACTATCTGGTAGATCCTTGTTCTTTGCCGAGTTGAAACTGTTTTTAATGCTTTGCGTCAAAACAGTCCCCATACCAATGAAGAACTCCGGACCCAATATCTCGTTCAGATTGTTGTCACAGTAGTTAGCGTTAGAAGCATCATTATTTTGATTTGCAATTGTGTTGCTCACTGACACACCAAAATTTGCATCACAGACAGATTCACTAACATTTGTATCACAGACAAATTTACTGATATTTATATCACAGACTGATACTGTTTCATTAGTACTGCAAATCAATTCGATACCATTTTTGCCATTAAAATGGTCATTTAATTTGCCATCATCGTCAATTTTATCCCCAATCGACACACCACTGTCAAATGTCACATTATAGTCTTCAACAACTGTTCTCTGCCAGTTTTGATTGACTGGTAAGATTTCAGAATTTATGTTCATTTTTTCTGTTTCTTGGAAATATCACAAAATAAAAGAACTGGATCTGTGCTGTATAAAAAAGATGAAATATGTTTAAGATAGAGTTGATACATGAAGCTATTTAATGGCAAAATGCACAAACACAAAAGCGTACACAAAAAAGTTGTACATAATAAATTAAAACGCCGTACACTCGAACAGCTGATCGCATTCAGGCAAATTTTCAACTTAAAATCTGCTTGGGATGAAAGCGTCATGACGGAAAAAAGTTACGCAAAAGTCGTAAAAAGTGAAATCATTCGATAGGAAATTACTTTTTACGTCAAAATTTGATAAGGAAGAGTTTAGAGATGAATTTATTGAGAAGAACAACTCAAACGAAACCAAATTGGCGAAGAACTCCGCTGAACACCTATATACAAAAACACAACAAAGTAAGTAAGAGTATGCAGAAAACTTTGACGAAAGTTTTGACGCTTGTACGGAGAAAATTAGAGAAAAATGATGATAAATTTTCACAATATAAACATTTAATATAATTCTTTATTGAATAAAAAATGAAAAAATAAAAAACTCACGTATTTTTTAGCGATTTTGTTCATCTGTTCGATCATTATTTAATAAAAAAATTTAGCAAGCTGCGACGAAGACACTAAATTCTAAAATGCATTTTCCGAAAGGAGTACGAAGGCACCAAGCAATGGTTTAAAATTATTACCACTTCAAAAAATTATATTAAATGTTCTTTTTGCGGTGAAAATATTTTATTTTATTTATTGAAAATATTATTTTATTCTATAATCGTAAATTTGATTCATTTTTGAAAAAAAAGATTGATTCGATTCGCTATTTTTTGAAATTTGAATGAATGCCGGTGTTAATAGTTTCATTTTCCACCATCGAAATAACAATGATGATCATCAAGATTATTATTATTATCATTATTATTATTATTCCCCATTATCACCATATTAGTCGCAGCTGAATCTCATCTCGTCATAATCTGGTTCGAATCCCGTCTGCCTGAAACTTCTAAATTATCATACGGTAACCGCGCGTGCGGTACGGATTCTACTTAAAGGGCTAAAGGTTAAAGGTTTCGAGCTAAAGGTTAAAGGTCTCTACACTCAGCCTAGGTTAAGAGGACTCAACAGCTGACATCCATCGTGTAAGAGGAATACATGCCGAACGACGCACCACACGCGAAAAAAAGTGTTAAGCGGAGATTTTTTTGTCGTATTCCAATCGAACTCAGCCTTTGCGATACCGCTCCAGCTGGCGATCTTAACCACTAGACCATCACGCCGGCCCTTCAAATGTATGTGTACGTGAGGGTAAGTGTCCCACACATACACGCACACATACAAACTCACACACAAGCACACATACATACCCACCAGCATACACGCTCACATACAAACCAACATATAAACACGCCCATAGTAAATGAGTTAAAAACAGAACGAACTAAAGAATGAACAGATGAAAACAAAGAATTTGCGAACAATGAACGAGATCTTTAAGGAGATGAACAAACGAACGATTAACTCGCTATCATTACCATCGTCATTAATATTAACCATCATCATCATGTTATTATAGTTATTATATTAATTAGACCAAACAAATAGAAAAATCAATAGTTGTTATATCATCCGAGACGTGTATTTATCTAGCGCCAACTCAACTATGCCTTCATTCATTCATTCATTTATTCGTTCGTTCGTTCGTTCGTTCATTCATTCGTTCGTTCGTTCAATCATTCATTCGTTCGTTCGTTCATTCGTTCGTTCGTTCGTTCGTTCATTCATTCATTCATTCAACCATTCATTCATTCATTCAACCATTCATTCATCCATTCATCCATCCATCCATCCATCCATTCATTCATTCATTCATTCATTCATTCATTCATTCATTCATTCATTCATTCATTCATTCATTCATTCATTCATTCATTCATTCATTCATTCATTCATTCATTCATTCATTCATTCATTCATTCATTCATCCATTCATTCATTCATTCATTCATTCATTCATTCATTCATTCATTCATTCATTCATTCATCCATTCATTCATCCATTCATTCATTCATTCATTCATTCATTCATTCATTCATTCATTCATTCATTCATTCAACCATTCAAGACGGTCTGCCTTGTTTTTCATCAATTTTTTTAAAACAATTAAACAACCATTTGTTTAATTTATGTACATATAGATAATAGTGCACATACATACATATACACACATACATACATACATACATACACACACACACACACACATACACACACACACATACATACATACATATATTATATAACGTAACGTTAGATGATAGTAATACACACACGCACGCACAAACACACACGCACGCACACATACACGTACATACACAAATACATTTAATGTTTTGTTTCCGACTAGCTATTGTTTGAACGCTGAACGGAGGGACGAATTAATTAAATTAAAGTAAATTAAAATAAATTACTTGTAGAGTTGTTGGTTTTTTTTTAAATATTATCAAATTTTTTTCCTAATTTGTATAAAATGTTTGGAAAAATATTTCTTTAAGAGTTTAAAACTTTTCAAACGTCAATTTAAAAAACGAATTTTCCGTCAGGCCTGTAATTTAATTCGCCCTCAATTAAACGAAAACCATATTTTTAATTAATATTTGAAATAAATAAAAGAACAAATCCCAAAAAGTAATTAATCACTTTATTAATCAATAACCGACAACAAAACAACAGCAACAACCATATATAATAACAACCAAATCAGCGATCGAATCAGTTAAACGTTCACAAATCACCGACAAAAGATAAAAGTACAGAATGTACCGCCAACATTATTTACTCGTTTACATCCTCGCCATAAAGCTGCCATCACCTTCATCATCAGTACAGCAAGCATCGTCAACATTGTCAGCCGACCCAATGCCAGAATCAGGAGTCAGATACTCCAAACATCTGGATGCATTCACAAACGCTGAAATCTGCGCACAAATCCTGGACAAATCCGTCTTTATCCCAGCAAGATCCCGTCTGAATTGTCTGCACTACTGCGCGTCCACCTACCAACTGGATTGCACTGGGATCAATTATTATCCGGACGCGAAAAGTTGTCTGTTGTTGAGGAATGGTGCTTTTAATAATTATACAAGTGGATTGCCATGTCGTGGTCATTATCGCAGTGGTCAGTTCTCTTCTGTTTGGCTTTTTTGTCATCATAATTTCCTTTTCTATGAAAAAATATTTTGAAAATTGCTTGAGAGAGTTTAATAAATTTGTTGGATTTGAAAATTTCACGAGTTAGTTGAACGTGGAGTTACGCATTTGCTCTCCTGTTGAAATCCAGCATGTTTAAAACCCAACCGAAAACAGACTGCCCGGCGAACTTTTACAACTCATTCCGGAACAGGAAATGCTACAGTTTGAGGATCGGCAAATGGAACTGGAATGATTCGCAGAGGACCTGCAATGGCATGCACCCAGCTTCCCACGCGGTCATCATCAGCGACGCAGATGAGAAGGCATACGTCAACAGGTTCCTCTACTCAATTTTGTCTCGTTAGTTCGGCTTTCTTTAATCATTCTGATCATATTTAAGTATTCAAAATTCTACATTAATAGGAAAATGTTAATTGAGTAATCATCGAAATGACAAATGACTGTTTGTTGCTTTATTTGTAACGTTTATCTACAATATTAATTTAAATCTTATTCACATAAGCTGTGTGTTTGTTTGTTTGTGTGTGTGTGTGTGTGAAAATAAAATAACAAGTATTATAGTATTATTACCACCACGACAACCATTTTGCAACCACCAATCGACCAACCAGCCTCATCAACATGTGCAGTTTTCTTGGGCAGTTCTACGACACCAACGTATGACGTCTGGTCTGCCGGTGCGATGACGTATCTCAACTCGGTTGCGCAACCGTTCGCCTGGTATCCATACCCTGGCGTGAAGATATCCTTTGGTGGGTATAGTTGCTGGAATTCAGGCGAGCCAAACGGGTATTTTGACGGTCTAACTTTGTATTGTGTCGAGATATACTTCGATACCTGTTGTAATGATACACCATGTTCTCTAGCCAAGTGTGTACTCTGTGAAGTTGATCAGTAGTAGCAGAAGCAGCAGCAGCAGCAGCAGTAGTAATAAGTAGTAGTAGTAGTAGTAGTAGTAGTAGTAGTAGTAGTAGTAGTAGTAGTAGTAGTAGTAGTAGTAGTAGTAGTAGTAAGTAGTAGTAGTAGTAGCAGTAGTAGTAGTAGTAGTAGCAGTAGTAGTAGTAGTAGTAGTAGTAGTAGTAGTAGTAGTAGTAGTGGTGGTGGCGGTGGTGGTGGTAGTAGTAGTATAGTAGAAGTAGTAGCAAGTAGCAATGACAGCAGGATACTAAAAAAACTTTTTGCAATTGAGATGATAATATCAATTGAACGTTGAACGCTTGGACTGAAACGTTCTGAGAGACAATTGAACTTATTTTTACAAAAAATATAGCATCAATTGTTAACTTTTGATGTTAAATTAAATGAGTTTGATGTTCATATGCACTTCTTAAGAAATGGCACAGCCCTATTCAGTTTGAACAGTTTACCGGCTGATCAACCTTTTATATTATATTTATCAAAAGTTTTAATTATTGTTAAGGTATTATTCGCTTTGTTGATTATCAATTTATATTTAATTCCTAATTAATTTGTTTTTTTCAAGTTTTGTCTATTAAAAACTCTATTTCGCTTTTTCAAATTGAAAAATTTTTCCTTAAAAGTCAATTTGTTCATACTGGAAGCAAGCTCGGCGAACCAAGAGAAAATATAACAACGAAATTAACTTGAATTGTACAAAAAAAACCATGTCAGAACTCAAATAATTCACGCATATATACAAATAACTAAGAAAATAAACACACACACACACGTACAGAAACTTACACACATACACGGGTACATTTATATCAAACTTTACTATTTATAGAATATTTTATATTTTCACTGTTTAATTCGTCGTGGTTTTTGTCGTTGTTTTTACTTGTTCTTTAGAATGTACTGAAATGTAACTGTTGTTGTTATGAAATTGTGGTTGTTAATGTAATTGTTGACGTTACGAATTGTTAGTTTTGTTTATGTTTCGATCTTACAAGAAGTTTAAATAATCATCATTTTCTGATTTATAAATGTCCTAATAACGCTAATTTTCAGTTTTTTAAAGATAATATCAATTTATTATCAACTGAAATGCTTGTACTTGATAATTCTTGTGAACAATTTGTTCTGGTAACATCGTAACGAAAAACATACAATCATACAGAGTAGCTTGAAAATAATTATTACAAAATTTTAAAAATCTAAAATAGAAATTTAAGTGGCTAAAAAATTAACACTAATCCTTCACGGCAAACTATATTTCTACAACTGCTGATAGCAACACCGCCTTCTCCATCCACACTTACACTAGACAAGCCCCATCTGATAAGACTGAGTTAAACATCCCAAACACATAGATTTACAACAATTTCAAGAATCTCTGCCTAAATATCGACAAATCCTTATCTATTCTAACTGCCTACAGCAATGCATGTCAATATTAGAACAGGATTGGCCAGTGGTTAATTTTATCCGGATTTTTATTCAAGCACTCATTTATACGTTCTCGCGAGAATAATGACTAAATGAGTGATTTTTATAAAAAAGACCCTTTTGGAAATTGTACTAAATTAAAGGCTTTTTTATATCGCAAACTTTTTTAGTTTTGTAGTCTCTGCAATTTTCGGATGTTCGTCACTTCAAATTTAAACTTTCGTAAACAATTTTATTCGGGTATATTATTGTATTGTATATTAATTGTAATTTTATTTATAAGTCTCTAAAACTACTACTACTACTACTACTATTATTATTACTACTACTACTACTACTACTACTACTACTACTACTACTACTACTACTACTACTACTACTACTACCACTACCACTACTTCTACTATTGCTGCTGCTACTACTTCAACTGCTACTTTTACTATACTGCAACCAATATAATAAACATAGAATTGATTAAAATTATTTACAAACACTTAACAATAACAACAGGGTAGTTGAAGTTTTCGGAATATTGGAATAGGGTTACAGAAAAATGAAACAAATTTTTTCAAAATCCACATTTAGATAACAATTATTTTTCAAAATATTAAAAAAAATACAAAAAATCATGAAAATCTTAAACTACAATGTTGACAAATTCAAAATTAAACTTATCAACGTTACTATTTGTGGCCCTGGCCGTTTTAAAAGCGAAATTCGGCACATCTCCGTATCTCCGTTGGGGCTCAGTCGAGTCGACATTTTTTAATGTTTCAGTATTACTGTCACTAACACTTTGTTCGGTTAGGAATAATTTATAATTTCTTTCAATTTCGGCCATTTCCATTGGCGAATAACCAGAATCGTCACCGGAACAATACGTCCAGTTATCATTCGAGATCGCGTCTGTAAATTGATGTCTATGCAGGCATGGATTTTCACTGTCTATGGTGTTGAAAACGGAAGTGTTCGTCTCTTCTGCGTTTAATTCGAATTCGTTCGAGTTTTCGTCTAATTCGAATTCGTGAATATGTTTTTTGGTTCTGTGTTTGGGTTGTTTAGTGGAGGAATGGGATGCAGATAAGTAGGAAGCCCGAGATGAAGATGCCAAAATGGCGGTTTTGTTGTTAGTAGAATTTTTTCTCTTGTCAGTTTTGTTGTTGATGGTGATTTTTGAATTCGAAGATCTCTTGTCTCGATCGGAATCATTGATGTTTATGTTTGCAGCGTTTATGAGTGGCGATCTAAAAATATAAAAATTAATGTTGCTAATTATCTGGAGCAAACCGTAAACGAAAAGTCCTTACAATGAATTAAAAAATGTACGTATCTAGTAACTCAAGTACCTAAGTTTAAGACTACTTTCATCTCTAAAATGAGTCCTGTGACGATGTTGTTGTTGCTGTTGCTGGCGCTTTTCCAGTTGCAGTTGTAAGTAATTTAAATTGACAGGTCCCTGGAGGATTTCTGGGGAATCTCGAGGTAGCGGGAGTGAGGCCTTCACTTGTCTACCACTACCACGATTTCTGTGGTGGTGGCTGGCGTGAATTTTGATGTTTTCTTGTTGGGGATTTGTTGGTGGCCTGTTGTTGTTGCTGCTGCTGTTGTTGTTGTAGATGTTGTTTCTGTTGTTATTGCTGGGAGAGGAGTGAAAGGAATAGTTTTTGTTGATTTGTTTAATGAAGTTTTGGACCGGGTAATTGCTCTGCTCGTACAACCAGCGTTTCCTGCTCAGTCGCTCGTTCATCTGCTCTCTACGTCTGGTTGAGGAAGATTTAAAATGTTACGGCTACTAATATTAACAATAAATAAATAAATAAATATATAGATAAATAAATAAATAAATGAATGAATAAATAACCAAACGATAACTTTATATTTTAACAACAATTTTTAAAAGGCTGATGCCCAAAAAACTAATCAAACAGAAAACAAAAAATAAATCAAAGAAACAGACAAATTATATTTCCCGCCAACCTCTTAGCTTCATGAAACTTCCCCCTACAGATAAGGATAACAAGAACGACAATGGCAGAAAAGACGGCAAACGCCAAGCCCACTGTTGATGCTATGACAATTTTCCAGTGGTTCTCCGCTATATTTCCACCCATATATATTCAAATACCTACATTATTCAATTACTTTTATTAATTATTACCATTTATTATTATCATCGCGTTATAGTATTTTAGTATTTATTGTTGTATTGGGGCACAGACACGGTAAAGTTAAAGAGTCCTTCCCCCTTTAAGGGTTAGATGGATACGCCCTAATCTACCCCAACCAAATTTTTTTTAAATAATTCTAGTGAGAGTTATGCAGTAAATAAAAGTGTGTTGTTACTATTTACTTTCACGGCATTTTAACCTAAGTATTTCACTAAAAGATGAGACGGTGTAACGGTTAAGATGCCCGCCCCTGATGTTGCAGTAACCGAGTTTAAATGCCAAGAGATCCCTGCTTATTGGGTATGTGTGTGAGTGTGGCGTGTGTATGTGTGCGTGTGTGTGGTGTGTGTGTTGATTCACGCGTGTAGTATCCGTTCGCATGAATACGCTGGGTGTTTGTTTGTTGCTGCTGATACTTCTAAAAAATAATACAATACAATAATACAATACAAGAAACTTACTTAATTATCCAAACTTAAATTTTCTCAAATACCTCATTACAAATTTTTTTTTACAAGCAAATTCAATGAAATATAATAAAACTATAGTTACTTACTTACAATGTTATTAATTCCAGTATTCTAGTACTGTAGTAGATTAGTATAATTATGAACCATCACGATCTAGAATGTTGTTATCAATCGTAAATTAATAAGTTTATCGGCTAATTAAATATTATTTATTATTTTTTAGTGAATAATTTCATGATTTTAAGTTATTGTAATTGGTACATTATACCGATATATCAGTATTTATACAGATATAAATATGAATATAGTCGTGAATTGAACATACACTCTTACATATTTTTCATTATTAACTTAATCATTAGAGTTTAATTAGATAATATTTATCTATCCTTACTTAGCTAAGTCTGTTAGACATGCTTATATACACATACATTCATTCATACATACATTCACATATACATACATACATACAAACATACATACATGCATACATATATATATACATACATACAATATATAGTATACATATACATATATATATACATACATACATACATACATACATACATACATACATACATACATACATACATACATACATACATACATACATACATACATACATACATACATACATACATACATACATACATTCACACATACATACATACATATATACATTCATACATACATACATACATATATACATTCATACATACATACATTCATACATTCACACATACATACATATATACATACATACATACATACATACATACATACATACATACATACATACATACATACATACATACATACATACATACATACATACATACATACATGCATCAGGCATACATTCATAATGGAACTCTAAGCTAAAGTTACATCGGCCGATGATCATCGTCATCTTCATCGTCATTTTTAGCATCCATTCATTCTGATTGGCTACTGGAGGGAGTTTGTTAAATAAACGAATGGATTTGTTTCTATACAAAAAAGATGAAAAGTTTAAAAGTTAATTTAGGTTAAAATTTATTTAAAAAATATTATTCTGATATTATTTTATGGCTTCATTTTAAGCGGTAAGCATATAGAATATAATGTTATAGGCAATGTATTTGTATAATTTTAATGACCCAAATAGAATATATTTATGAAATATAGGCAACCAAAATAGCGATATATAAATTACAGATTGATTGATTGATTGATTGATTGATTGATTGATTGAATAATTGATTGACTAATTGATAGATATAGTAGATAGATTAAACGTAAAACGAATGATTGATTGGCATCATAATGAATGAATGATTAATAAATTAAATAATGGATAAATCTATGATTAATTGATTGATGAAATGACCAACTAATTGATTGAATGTTTGATTGATTGATTGATTGATTGATTGTTTGTTTGTTTGTTTGTTTGATTGATTGTTTGTTTGATTGATTGATTGAATAAGAAAACAACAATCTGAATTATTTTACAACCATCAAACAAATTAGCTAATTGGCGAATGAGTGTAATTAATGAAAGGGGTTGGCTTGGCTTGAGATAGATTAGAGAGAAATTAATGATGACGATGACGACGACGATGATGATTGCATTAATTTTAAAATGATAAATAATGATGATGATAATAATTATAATAATTATAATAAAGATGACGTTTTTAATTATAAGTAGCAATGAACAACATTCACATCTTCTACAAATCTAATTGGTGTAGCTATTATTGTAGTTTTATCAGCCTGTAACCATCATTATCATAATCATTATCATCATAACCATCATCTTCATCATCATCATTGTCATCATCATCATAATCATTACCATCATAACCATTATCTTCATCATCATCATGTCATCATCATCGCAGTCATCATCATCATCTC